TTTGTAGATATTTGCAGTATTAAAATGAAAAATTCTCACCTTTGAAACAAAGCACTTTCCATGTCTATAAGGAAGTAAGGTGAAAGGCAGGAACCGGGCAGCTAGTGGGTGACCACCAACCATTGATGTGGTAAGCTGCGAAGGAATTGTGATTGTCCGCCGCTAACAAGAAATTCCCAGCAGCAGATTTTAACCTAAGAATACTTAACACTCTCAAATTCAAAGAATTTTGCAATGTTCATTCGCTGACACGCTAGCGCACACCACCGAACAGAACGCCGCACTCATTTAGAGCATCGACATGCTTACTGCGCACTGGGGGCAAAACGATGCTAGAGTGTTTTAACGGGATGTCAGAACTTTTCCACAGAGCTGGAACCTGCAGTGGAATAACCCCAGGCAAATGAAGCTGCAAAGAGGTCTGCTTTAAACGGGACCACTACTCCAGCTGGTGCGCAAGCTGGGACGTAATAGTCCACAGAGCTCAAATAAACGTGAAATGAGCTGTAGTCCTAGAACTATTTATGCTGAATATTGAGTTGTAAGGGTAATATGCCATAAGAGCCTATAGTGGACCCTCAGACCGATCTTTACTTGCCAAGCACAGATATGTCAATCAACACACATCGGGTGGCCTTCACGCAATACATGCGCAAATTCACCTATAATCCGTTTGGGAAAGCCAATAGCTAGAATGTGCAATTTTCTTTTTATGCAAAGCGTCTTTTGCATCGTGCACTGTCGATGTTCCCCGTCACCTGTAGTGAAAAACTGTAGCAGGTTCAGGCTTCTCAAATAATAGTCCTCGTAACCTTGAATATTCGACTAATTTTTAAGCGCCCCACCCAGAAGACAAAAGTGCCGGATTTTGCGTTTCAGAATATGGGCTGAGGAATCTGGTCGTCACCTGCAAACACAAAATACCGAGAACTGCCCGAACGAGGCACTTCACCACCAGCGATGAGGGTCTCCCCTGCAGACGCGAGTTGTATGAGAGCTCTCACCACGCCAACGAGTTAAATTTTTGAAGCTTGTAAAGATCCTAAGAGTGCTGAGGATATGAGATGTGCAGTGGGACATCTCATACTCTCGCGACTCTCCCGTTAGGAAGCTGCATACACGCAACAGAGTGTAAAGCGGAATGCGGGCTGAGTCCCATCGCCTTCTCTTTTTCTCTAGACCATAGCGTTTTTGGTGGTTCATGCCAGTGTATTGCATTCGTCGTTTTCCCGGCGCCCAAGGCCGGCAACTGGGAAGTAGCCACGTCGACTACCATCGATCTGCACAGCCCAAAAATGCCTCAGCCAATCCCAAGCCACTTCCCTAACTGCAGGTGTGCAGGGCTGCTATAGCGGAAGCAGTGCCGGTGGAGCAGCGTAATACGCATGTAATGCCTTGCAACAGAACTTTGCAAGTAGTAATTCTTGTCGCATCACGATTCAGAAGCTATGTTTTCTGGTAGTATTCAGCCTGGCTTGCTCCACGCTTTGCTGCTACTGAAAAGAAACCTTTCAAGAAAAATTCACACGGCCGACAGCCTGAAACAACCGCGGTGTGACTTGAGATTTTAAGCTCTTAGACAGGCTCGCACTACCGGTGGCTAGAATCCCTGTGTGCAGGACTACTGAGTTCTGGATCCTCAAGGACACATTTTGACACTAACCGAGCAATTCGACTTATTGTGGGAGACAAGCCCACATTGTTGAACGAAATGGCTGCGACACTTGACCTCGAATCATCTGGGAGTGAACCATCGTGACTCAAGATTTTCTATTTTGCGGAGCATCCTTTCAACACCCCTAAATTGGAAGAGTGGTTCCAGTTGCAGCTTCAGCCAATAAACCAAGTGCTACGCCCGCTAGCTACAGGGTATACTAATCGAGAAGTTATCATGCTGGAGATGGCAAAAGCTCGACAGCATGCGCTACAATTCCTAAAACGAACCAAGGGGACGGTTACTGATATGTCAATGAAACGCTTTTGTGAAGGCTGCAGATGAGTTACACGTATGCACAGATTCGTGCCTTGCTGAGTCTGGACAATGTACGTGTCTGCGTCAAGGCCTAGAGAAGTGGAGCACGCCTAAACTCGGCCAAGACAACGAACATAGGCCTTTTACATTACAGCAAAAAGCAGGGCTTCCTGGAATGGCTGCAGTAAGTTGCTTGGCTGAGGGTTACTGGCCTCATGCGGCTCCACTACCTGAAGCTGCAGCGGCGAATTTCGCTGAACTGGGGGTATACTGCTCGGAACAAGAGGGTACTTGTGTTCAGATATTCCGCTGATTTTACCAGAAGATACGGCGAATTATCTGAGAGCCTTCGGGAAGGCTTTGAACACAGGCTGAGGTGCTGCAACTGTCACCAGTCAGGCCAATTTCGTGGGTAACGGAAAGGAAATACAGCGTCCTTCTTCGCATTCTGCACACCTCCAGCACTTTTTCTTCAGTTTCTTCGTAAAACAATGCCTATTTTGAGGGGACAACATAATTCAAGTCTGCATTGTACCAGTTTTCCGGCAGCAGAATTGAGTAAATAAAGTGAGGCCTTTATTCTGAACTGAGCGGTTTTGTCTCGATTCTCTGTTAAAAGCAACTAAACGTTTCTCAGTTTCATGCATTCATCATTTTCCTTTGTCAAAGTAGCCATGTCACTCCCTTTGCATGCCATGTGCCGCTTGAGGCCTCAATTGGGGCGGCATGGAGGCTGGCGACTCTATGAAAAGATCTACGGGAAAATGTCGATGGCATGCCCAGAAGATCTATGTTTATCAACGTGTTGGTCACCTTTTGTTAAGCTGCGTGAAATCGCGAGCTTAGCAGCCTTGCAGCTCAAAACAGGGCGCTTCGGCAAGCACGCTTCCAGGGTCACTTGCAAGATGGGTGCCTGCGCATTGCATGCGAAGATAGCAGATGCTACAGCTCCCTCCCCAATGTATATAAATAACATTATTAACATAAAGAAGCGTCACTTAGCGGCTTGGCGCCCTCGCAACCTGCATTGGGTTCCAACAAACAGCACGCTCAGTACACCCATTCGCACCTGCAAGTACACAAAATATGCGAGCCATCAGAGGACGAAGTTGATTTGGCCTTAATGTGGCAACATCAAGACGGCTTCTCGCAGCTGTGGAGATCAGTCGGCTTTGAATTGGCCTACGGCCTATGTTCTGTCAGGAAGGCAACCGAGAAAACGGACTAGAATGGAGAGCCTACAACGGCATCTAAACAACTCATCATGGAGACCAGCCCCAGCCGGTTTTCGGTCTTCTGTCAAAGACCCTAACGCGCAGGCTACAGCTCTACGAAACGCCTCGGGTCAAAATGCTGGAGATGCAGTTACACCTCAAGACTGCAAGAGAGCCATGTCATTAATTACCAGACAGCCCCACTCCAGTGCCCGGGAGGTTCCTTCCGATGTTACTGCTGCCTTTCGTAATTTTGCGCACTCTACACAAATTATGTTACGGCAGCAGATGCAGGAACAGCTGCTCCCACTCCAAAGTAGCCAAGCGCAGTTGACAGTTCATGGGGAGGAAGCCGGCCATCGTTTTCCATTCCTTACCAGGTGCTTCACTAAAGCATATCTTCCTAGATGCCAATACTTCCTATCTAATGCTGGCTTTTGCGTGCTCCATTAGCATCAAAACAATGATGCCCTTCTGCACCATTTATGTCCATTTAGTCGTCCCAAACGCACATGCCGAAGCACGTGCATGCTTTACTTGCGTATTGGCTTACGCGACTTTAGGTTTGGTTCCTCTCCAGAAGTTAATGCAACTACTCAGCAACGAGTACTGCATCACGGGGCTGAACGGGGCTCACAGCAGGAAACGCTCCAGCACGAAGTCAGCATAGTCTCAAGCAGCCTGGTTGCCTCATGCTTCGAAGGCCAACATATGCCATTTCCCCTTTTTGACTCCCGGGCCGCTGCGGCAAGCGCTGCGTCACGTTGCACTAACGCAGCAACGGCAGACGCTGCAAGCCCAACTAGGTGGGCACGCAAAATCGTGGTAAGCAGCAACGGCAAAGGACGTAACGGCATTGATAATATTCAACGTCGCAGTGGGTCATTAGTGCAGCAAGAAAAAAGCAGCGGGGCATCGCGAGCGAACAGCGAAATGGAAGCTCTTTTGCAGTGGCAGGAAGATGCGAGTTCATCCGAAGCGAATACAGCTGCAGCACAAGCTACACAACAAAGCAGAAATCACGGAGCAACAAGAGCTATTGGTTGCACTGCCTCCCCCAGAGCTATTGATACCTTCGCAAAGCAATCGCAGTGGAGCAGCACCTCGGGAAACCGGATGTGCCCCTCGGCGCGGTGCGACGAGCAGACGAATTCGTGCAACACATCTACTGAAGGTCACCCTTGCGCAAACCACGGCATTCAGTCCAGCGAACTTCAAGAAGACAACGTGGCATTGGCACAAGCTCAAGAAACATCAGGAAATACTGAACCGCCCGTAAGGGGAAGAAACACGTTCGTCGGCTTCCGTTGCATCTGAAGCTTGAGGGGGCAACGCTTTTGTTTGCTAATGCCTCTAGCGCCTTTTGTCACACAAAAGTTACGCCTGTAACTGCGCCGCCAACACGTTTTTTCTCTGTCGTGGCGCCGGATGTGAGTACCCATTCTGTGCCTTTAGGGAAGCCAAGGCACTTCGGGCGTGAACAAGGTTACATGGAGTCACGAGGAGCGTTGGGAAGATGATCCATTTCCGCAAATACCACTACATATGGGCCTTGATGCCTCTACGCAACGTCAGGAGGCACGGCTAGCCCTCATGCAGCACTGTTTGCTTGCTGCTGAATTGTTCATTTTCAACATCGGCCACATAGCCAATACTTCTCGTTGTATTTGAGTGTGAAGCTGAGGTCAAACAGAAACTTCATGAGTCTCTGAGCTTGATTTGAGAAGCATTTCTTCCCTGAAACGCCTTGCACTCCAGGTCTGTGCTCCTCCATGATTGCAGCTGTAGAGGACAACGCTGAGCGGTTTGAACAGATGGCGGAGCCGATCGTAAAACTATTGGTTGCAAAAAGCGTTGAGCAGGCTGTGGAAGAAGCCAGACAAGAGCATCAGCTACTTGTGCTTCACATGCGAAAGCGAGAGCTGATTCGGCACCAAGAGGAAGAGCTGCGTGAGCTGGAACGAGAAGAAGCACGTAGGCATTTCTTGGCTCAGCAGGCCATGCGAGGCCAGCTGATCTTGTGAGTCAGTGCTAAAAGTTTACGCAAAAAGGGCGTTTACGCTAATAAGGAAAGTTTCCAGTAAACTACTGCAGATCCTTTTGCGCTCGGTATTAAGTCACAGGGTGGAGGGACAAACGACGCGTAGCTGCTGAATGTTCCTAGTGTGAGGGCCGCGCGTTTTGCTGGCAGGAAAGAACATGAAAGACGGCTATGGCGAAGGCTGTGGGTAGCGCACATCGGAACGGCTGCTCTGGGTAGTGGCCTCCTCAAAAAAACTTTAGACCATCTGGACCAGGTACCAATTGTTTCTCTGGTGGAAGACGGTAATAACTATGCGGACTCCCCAATGTTGTCTCCGTTTTGTTACTACAACGAGCATGAGTGGACCCAAACGTGACTTCCATTGAAAGTGCCTGACTCCCACAGCCTCACTAAATCCTAATATCATTCATCCCCGCCTCACGTTATACATGCATGTCAGATTGCAGTTTTGTTATCACAGGAACAGTTTTTCCTATCCACGAGGGACATTGCTGTTGGCGAATTTTTGTCGGAAGTCGCTGCGGCAGCTTCGCATGAAATAAGGAAACGAAACGTGGGGAGAACCATAGGCTCACTGCCTTATGCAATATGAGCAGATGCGAAGCCATACGATCGTGTTGAGTGCCCGTACTTGGAACATTCGCATTTTTATCCTCCATTGTAACCGCTTCTGGGAAGGCGACTAAATCTACAGGGGCAACCAGGGCTTTAATGAATATCGGGGACAGTACTCGAGGTCCAGAGTGGCTTATTTCACGTTCATTCTGCTTTCAGAAATCTTATTAGCTTGCAGGCGATAGCTCTTTCAGTTACTAGACTGTGCGCGGCCTCAGGAAATTAGTGAGGAGCTAGTAAAGCGATGGTCGAACACTGAGGCCTTGCAAACGGCATATAGGCGGCAGCAAGAACTGTTGCTCTGGCGTCAGCACTTGAGCATGAGGGAAAAGATTAAAAGAAGAAGAGATCTGCAGCGTGGCGTCGTGCACATATTTGTCACTTCCGCAGGTAAGGACAACATGCTGCTTCAGGGCTTCTGCGATTGCGAAAAGCCTTGCAGTAAAATGTTTCAGACAGGCTGGCAACTCCGTCCCAAGCAACCCTTGTAGGATTAGCTGCCTATTTAAATGCACTTTGCAAGCGGAGACAAATCTTACCCACATGCACAATGTGCTTGTCACTGCACAGAGCTTGAACGTGCTGCCAAGTTGGGATCGTCGGGCACGAAGTCCACAAAGATTCTGAAAGGAGAATCCTTTGAATCACCAAACAGTGAGGCTAAAAGAAAACTTGTTCCAACCTATACACGCCGAATGTCTCGTCACCTCTTGGTGACTGATAGCTCAGACGGAAACGGTAAAAAAGGTGTGAGCCGCGAAAGGATGAAGCGCAGTTCGAGCTACTTGCAGCGGTGGCCCCAGACTTCTGTGCATTCTCTGTAGGTTTTGAAACGTTCGACCTAGCCTTGACTTCCTCTCAAGAAGCCGTGCAGTTTGAAGATGTCGCTGAATTACAACAAAAAGCGCAAGCCACTGTGAAGGCTGCAGCTGACCTTGTGCAACTTGGCCTGCCTAGTGACTATCTCCGACGAGAAAGACTTAGCCGTGGGCAGACCCTTAAATCGGAGGCAAAAAGGCTGACAGAAGCATTCGAAGAGCAACACAGACATTTATGGAGTCCACGGAAAAACGAACTAACCTCTGCAGCAGACAAGGAATGCACAAATGTAGAAAAAACTCAGGGAGACAACGAACTCGGCAGCTCGCCAGCCTGTTCCGCCTTGATATGTATCGGCCCCTTCAAGGTGATACGAAATCAGATTGTGCCTGGGCTTTCAAAGAGCTTTATTAATATGGAAGAGCTACAGAAAGAAGTGCAAAGAAGAATGTGCAACTGCTTCAGCAACATGGCAGGGATAATTCGAAGTTCACAAGTCGCCCTCGAAGCAAAGGGACAAAAAATAATGGTGCAGTTACTGATATACTGTATTGTCATGTAATAATTGTCAAGACCGTGTCAATTATGGATCGCAGCTTCCAAGCTCTTCTTGTCTGTGCGTCCATGTTTACTCAGAGAGTCCAAACTTTGCTAAAGTACGAATTCGGGGATCTGCGCATTCGGCTGGAAAGAAAAATAACATTTGCCGACCCGAGTGATGAGACCGAAAGTGAGCTTTCGAGTGAAGAGTCTAGAGAAGGCGAAGGCGACTAGAAATGATTTTCTCTAGTGTCCACAGCTCCTTTTGCAAAGCAAATATGCTGTTTGCCTTATTCTGTTCATGGCCTGATGTGAGCGCCTCTCTTACTACTACGTGGGCCGGGTGGTGTGAGCAAGACAATGCCAATACGCGAAAAGAAAGCTTAATGGTAATTTACTACAGTGCTTCAACGGCGTCCACATGCAATCGTCTCCCTACCAAACAAACAGACTCTACTAGTACGCTCGAGATAGCAGACTGCAGCTTTTCCTGGTTGCACGCTCTAGCAAACTGTCAAGCAGCAGAGCGTTGCAGGGCAAAAACTGCAAGTAACTACGTCGAGGAACCCGAATGAGAATTGGCGACTATAACGAAACATTCGGGTGTTTCTCCTGATTCGACAAACTGCTTGAGGGTAGCAGTCATAAAGCCTTTCTGTCGCAGCCACCACACTCTGCAGTTGATGAGAAGACAGAAAACAACACAAGAAGACGGGGAAAAATGAAGTGACTTTTCGCTGGGCTCATATAACGCTGTTCCACCACACTGAAGGATCAAATTTCTAACCATTTACTTTCGTCGCCCGGCCAGTGATAATCTGCTTAGGCTAGGGTTCGAACTAGTAGGGCTTAGTTAATACCGGGAGATGTCCAAAATCTTTTTCACCATTTTTCCAACTTCGCGTTTCCTGTTTGCTGCCCCAGTGGCCCACCTGAACAAAGCCACAAGTTAACGGCAGCACAGAAGCCGGGCAGGAAAATTGCATGCGCTGAACAACTGTATACGAACAGCTTTTTCGATCTCCTCAAGAAGGGAAGGAAAAGACTAGTGTGGTGGAAGCGAACCCAGAAAGGGAGAATAAAAGAGGAACTTCATCCTCCGTAAAGCCACATTTAAGGAGAAAGTCTGTCCCAACAAAAGAGTCCACGGTGCATCTGCGCAAAATGAAAAGTCGGTCAGAGACGAAGTTCAACAAATCATCAGAAACTTCACATTGCGTATTGCGCAGAGGAGCCCCACAGAGTCAAAAGAAACTCTTCGCCACTAAAAGCAGGGCCCGCTGGGTAGCACGTTCGAAATTCGTGCAACCCACTTCAATACGTGCATGCTGTGTTTGCGTTAACGAATCTTCTGGAAATTTTAGTGCTTTCGTCTACTATCATTTTTAGCTTTGGCTTTTTTCCCTAGAAATATGTACCGGTGATGGCAGCATGTTGCAATGCAGACACAGAAATTCAGCGTTGAATGAGTGGTATCTCGCGCCGATGCGAAGCATCTGCAGACGCATCACAATTCCCACGGCCTAAAAATCGTACAGTGCTTTAATACATAGTGCCTGCTGATTGTCACTACTGAAATTCACAAGCGCCTCACAGCTTCGCGATTATGGCATCTGAAGAGATAAATTCAATACTTTTTATCACGACGCACCGGAGGGCAACATCCGATCCACCTCCACACAAATGCTTGGCTACGCCTACTACAGTTGAAATGCCACTGTCCCTAAAGTGTTCCCTCAAAGTTTCGTCGATTCTGTAGGCCAATGTGGAACAAGTGAAAGAACGCACTCTCATCGCGCATGATGCACAGAAAATCGTCATTCTTCACAACCAGGTTGCCACAAGTACTTCAGCCACAGCAGTCATGAACATCGAAGGGTGCGCGTATGGACCGCATCCAGTGTACCTTTCAATGTTACAGCTTGGCAAAGACTAAAATAAAGTGCTTGTAAAAATGTGAACACACATGAGCACGTCAAATTAATTGCTTATTGTTTCCTTGAGGTCTCTTAAGGGCGCGTACTTTTGCAAATCGGGGCCCCCACCTTCCCCCAGAGTCTGGGAGAGAGTGAAGAAGTCATGAACACTTCCGTCCTCGATAGAACACAGAAAAGATGGTTTAGGCCCCCGCGTGGAAGCGCTGATGAACTCTTTTGTTCTTGCCTCCTGTGCTATTGTAACCTTCAGTCGGTCATCGTCTTGCGTACTATTTTCAGTACTATCTTTATCTTTGACAGCGTTTTTATCCTTCTTTTCGTCCGGATCCTCTTCCAAACGTTTTCCTGGAGCCAGGAAGCGGCATCCATAACTAAAGAGAGTCTTAAAAAAGGAAGGGATGTGGGGCCTGAATGAACATCACGCAATGCCTCCCATCTCCATTCACTTCGAATAAAAACAAATTACGCTTCGAAATCGCGAATTCGCATGAGCATATCTATATAAGTGGTGATACAAGACCTACACGCGCAAGGAACCTCTGCCTGTAATATAGTCAATAAGAGCTACGAGAGAGAAATCCGCGATATCCATTCGAAGCCTCACGGGGGGCACTGGCAGAGGTGCAGGAACGCTGCACTCATTTGCGTTGCTGTAACTCTCACAGCAGGTACAGCCAACTGCGCTAGGAAATGCAGCAGCAGCTGCGGCAGCAGGGGAACCATCATCAGCAACGACCCGCGTGAGCTCCCCACAGCGTACTGTTTCTGTTGCTTCTTTTAAAGAGTTATCTGCACATAAGAATGAACCAGCTGTTCTGTCCCTCTCAGCTGGTCTTGCTGTTCCATCGTTGTCAACGGCTGAGAGACGTCTTTCAGCAGCTGCAATCGCCGCAGGATGAACCGGACGCGTGGAATTGGGGTTGCGAAACGTCTTATCCTTCGCCTCCTTGCAGTAGCGCCGCGCTTCCCGGTCAACTGCGATGCATCTGAGGCCCCTGTATTTCGGGTTAAGTGCAGAGTTATCATTACACTCGTGTGTATTTGCGTGTGCTTCAGCTACTACTGATTCTGTCCCCGAATCAGGTGCAACAGAGACGGCAGACCAGCAGCTGAACCACCGCGTTAGATCTCCCTTCCCTGAAGGTAAATGCAGCAACCCGGAAACTACTAAAACAGTGCATCGCACATCAAGAGCAAATTTGTGATGATTTGGCGAAAAGGTCAGGTAACACATTTGGGGTGCATTCAAGCCTGGCATCCGAGGGATATTCGGGAATGCGTTGCATCTGCCTCACACAAGAGCAGTTCATACTTTCTGGACGCCCAACAGAAAGGCATTACAAAGCGGATGGTAGCGGAGTTCCCACATAATATGCTTCTATACTCTGGTGTGCTTCTGGATCCGTGAAGTCGCGCACTTTAGACTGACAGAAAGCAGGCTCCAGGGAAAGTGCCGCGTTTGCTATATACTGCGAGGAGCGACTGCCCGCGCCGTTGCCTCACCCGCGCCTTTGTGAAAACAAACAGAAAAGGGCGAAGACTCTGCAGCTCCAAAGACGGCTCACCTGCCCCGAGCTCCACAAGTAGAGTTTTGTCGCAGTTCCCGGGTTCCAAGTAGTTGTTGTACAGGCACAACGCCAAGAGTTGGAAGTGCTGCTTTTGGTGCTTGTTTAGCCTCTTCTGAAAGTGCTTAAGCAGCTCCAGCAGTGCATTTAGGCGATCCTGCCGCGGCAGCAACAATACCTCTTGCACTTCAGCCTCGAAAGCCGCCATCGACGATTCCTCAGCTGCTGCAACCCCACTATCTAGTGGCACTTTGCATGCATCCGCTGCTGCACGTAACAGTAGGATGGCTTCTCTGTCTCTGCGGCCCTCCCTTTCTTTGGGGGTCACGCTGCAGCATTTCGAGATGAATTCTGAGGCAGGCAAGTGTACCGTAGCCCCCCAAGGATCTACCGCAGTTGCTGCGGCCTCTGCTGTTTCTGCATCTGTTGCCACTTTCTCGAATGGATGTGGTGTATTCAAGTACTGCACGGCTTGTCTGTACGCCCTTGTAATCTTGGCTTCGAGCTCTTGTGTCAGAAGCGGCTGAGCATCTTTTGCCTTGGCAAACGCTGCGTGTTGCTGTTGATGCTGCTGTCGCTCTTCCTGCTTTTCTCTGTCATGACGCTGCTGAAGGGGCAAATTTACGCCGGGCTGCATAAACGGCAGGCAATGCGAGAAGGCGATGTCTCTTGTCTTTGTGCATTTCTTCAAGTGTGCCTGTAGCCGGAGTGCATAGATAGAGTGAGCTGCATCCATTGGACATGGTATGCGCTCGCCATGCCTGCCGGAATTGATTCTGTTCCGATTTTGGGGCTCCCCCTCGTATCCTGCCCCCATGGTTCCTACGCTGTCTCTTGACTGCTCGCTTTTTGCTGCTTCTGAAGCTGATTCTAACTCAATCTGCGGCATTGCCTCTGCTGTTATTCTTGATGGGGTAAGCGGGGCTGATTGATGCGCACGTGGCGCATCACTAGGTACGCTGCATGTTGAGCTGGGAGGCTCCACTGTTGCTGGCTTGGGTTTCTTCACAGGATTGCCCATGTCCTCGCCGTAGCCCGCTGCATGTGCTCTGAGGCCAACAGCCACAAAATCCGCTGATCCAGATTCATGCAGGTGGACCTCCTGATGAATCGTGGGAGACTCTTCCTCTGCGGGTAGCACCATGGGGATACAAACCCTGAACGCCAAACCCCACGAGGGTCTACAAGCGTCGAGTTCTGTCTCTGACTCCGGTTGAAGAGATGGCTAGAAAATCGGAGCCGCGAACTTCGCTCTTCAACGTATGTGTTACAATATGTTCATCTTCCACCTCAAGTGATCTCCAGCTTGTCAGGATCTGAGTGAAACCCCCACTGAACGATTGAGCCAAACAAATTAAACGAAAACATAAGTAAGGGCACATCATAATTCATATTTTTGCCTGCGGAATTCGAAGCAAGAAGGGCTTTTTGCCTCGCCGCCATGGAGAGTTTACGCCTTCTCCTCTCCTGGGCTTGGCGCGTATCGACCCTTTGGAAACAGCGTGTTAGAAGTCCCGTGAAAAAAATACAGATTTACGCGCGTTCATAGGTGACAAAAATGCATAGGACAATTTCAATTCAGGCTAGAGAAGTCTAAAAAGATGCTGCTCTCGTCTGTTCGCTGCTATGACTGTTCGTGAAGGAGTTTGATTCTGGGCCTTCTTCGTCTGAGCGCTGCTGTCTGTCTTGTGAAAACTCAAGTGCTGCAAAGCAACCCGAAACCAGTTGAAATTTTGGCGAAGAAAAGAATAAATGGTGCTTCGTCTGAGGGAAGGTAACTAAGCACACGCGCAATTCCAGTGCATAGAAATCAGAATGCTTGTAGGAGGCAGAAAGCAAAGAATGTCTGCAGCTTTGTTCTTCTGTGAACCTATATTGATGTAAGAATTCAGGAGCCGCCATCGAGCCGTAACAGGCGTATACACTGAGTGTCACATCAAATCAAATGCGCACGGAAAATGTGTGTACTTCCACGCAAGCATCAAGAGCAAGCAGGTTTGTCCAGCCGTATCTCTCCATGAGTGGAGAGTTGAGATATGATATAGAAAAAGTGTCCAACGAGTCCCAAGCAGCACTTCATGCACGGCAAGCACAGTTTAGGGAATGGTGGGAGGAGCTCCCTAAGAAAAGAACCTACGGCAGCCCCTTATCAATATGGCCGGGAAACAACAGAGAATCGACTGAAGGCTCAACCAAGAAAACTTGGCAAAAAAGAACTGGGCTCCTGCTGGGCCCCACAATACAGAGACCAAGTGGTCATCCCCTCACACGCGCTGGAGACACTTGATTTTTACACTATCTCTAAGCATTTGCTCATATTCCGGGGTATTTGCCTCTCATCCACTGCCCGCACCCTGCGGAGTACTATTGGACGGAGGTCACACCGGCTGCGCTCTCCACGCATTTACAAGTTAGCAAGATCGGAAACCACTTTCAAGCTGCTTTCCTTCTGTTATGCCCAAAACGCATCACACAAGCTGGATTCATAGCGGACATGGCTCCCTTAAGGAGCGAGAAAAGTATACTGGCTACGCAGAAGAACCTGTTTGAGCATCACTTAAATAGATATCAATTCAGAAAACAAAATCAGATGAAAGAATGAACGCCCATTGACGCGAAGTCTAATTCAGGCTAGACTAACAGCTCAGTGCACAGGGTACGGGGACGAAATGCACAAGTTGCAGTGCACACGAAGTAAAGCAAGCAACGAGCTGGGCAAATTGAATTCACAACGAAAGTAAATTGCGACGAAAGCACGCGTACAGATGGCTTCCGGCAAATAACACGGCAACGAAGTCGCGCAATGTGAAGGCAAAAGCGGTCTATAGCACTAGCGCACGCAGCGACATTCCTGCAAATTCTCCATGCAAACTAAAGCAGATCATTACAGAACGTATGGGCAAATGAAGGTGAGTAAAATACTACTACCCCACAAGAGGAGCTTAATAATCTTGCCTGGTAGAAGGAAAGGAGCAAAATGCAAAATGCATACAAAATCAAGTTTTCAAGCTTATGATGATTTGATGAGCTAAGGCACCAAATAAATGACGAAAGCTAACAAGCCAAAAACAGAAGGCATAGAAAGAAGAGTAACTGCGAGACGACCAAAACAGCTCAGCCAAAGTCCTAGCACATCTTAGTTGAGTTGGAAAGATTCTCGTTGCACTCTCCACTTGCATGTAATGGATCAAAAGAACCCAGAGGAGCACACCAAAAATTTCAGCGTGGACCAACAGACGCGTGAGGCAAAAGGCGGACAAACTATTGTCAGAGCATCGCCCAGTTGCTTTCTCGCTTGTCACACAGTTAACAGTTGCAGACAGTACGCGCTAAGGACATAAGGACACTCTCCAAAAGCAATGCTAAATCTTGCACTGGCTTTGCTCGAGTTGGCGTGAACATGGATTTGCATTTTTAATTAGTCATACTTAGTAAGTTCCGATGATGCATACCAAAGCCAGTGCAAGATTTGGCATTGCTTTTGGAGAGTGTCCTTGCTTTTTAAGGCGCAGCGCATTGTGTAAATAATTTCAGCAATAAACTTAAGCCACACCTAATAATATCATTAACTAGTATGCATGCAACTGCTTCACCACTGGTAAATGAATTGGGACGCAAACGGCAGGTAGGGCACTTCTCAGTAAGCGGCCGCAGGAGTGAGTCATGTAGACATTGCAGCATTAGCCATGCTGCTTTTCGGTAATCCATAAAGCCGCAGACAATTTTGCATAGAGAACTGGCGTAAAACCACTCAGCGACAGCCATATGTACGAAGACCAGGGAGCACAACACCCCGCTCTGAAATTTGTCCCATGGCCCACAGCACCGTCAATGAAAATGCAATCACAGTGGAACGCATTTAGAATGAGCATATAGAAGCCACAGTAATTCATTGAGGCGTGCGGTGATGAAAAAGTGATGCCGGTATGAGCATAACAAGTGCTCTCGAGACGCACGCAGAATGAAACGGGGTCGCTGCAGAGCTAGGCACTACAAATAGCAGACAACTTGTGCAGAGTAGTCTTAGTATGGAACAAATATATATTAGAGCACAGTACACCTAAGTTTACATGATGTGTCCGCTTCGACCTGCGCTTGAGGCAAACAAGGCACAGTTGGGGCTGGGTGAGATCGTGTGCATAGTGTGGCGGTGCGCTTGAATGAAAAAATCCAGTTCTACTCTTCCTGAGAACTCCCGATTCTTAATTCAGTATAAACTGTTTTTTTCTATGTGTCTACGATGATATCAAGGGTCTAGCGGGAGTCCGCACCTAGAACAGAGTCGGTACTGGGTAACTGTAGCAGTGCAACAAACGCACTGATCACTACAGTATTTATTATTTATTGCTTATACATGGCATGCCAATATCGCCGTGAACATTTTACGCAGCTTGTCACAAGCTCCTTTGGGCAGAGAACGAGGGACATTGGGGACGCCTGAGCAGAGGACAGATGCCCTAGAATTCTGAGAAACCCCAGCAAAACAGCAGGCTCTGGTGACTCGAGGCTTTTCTGGTTGCGTTACGATAGGGCTCCTGACTTTGCCCCGGTAGCAACGTTCTTCTCTCGAATTTCCCTCAAATATCTTGCTTTTGCCCCTTCAGTGCGTCCACACGACTCGGCAATGTCTTCAAGCAAAGATTTCAGCTTGAGTTCCTCAGTGGATACCGAAAGGGAGGCCTGTGGTCGTCAGCACCAGTCAGTGAACCAGATTATGGCTCTTCAGTCTCCCAGCAGCCTGAGACTCCCCCTGCGTTTCCCTGCTGACGCTTTCGCTGCACTGCATCTTCCAGCCCACGAGATACTCCACGGCAGAAACCGCGCAGCTGTTTGCAAAGCAAACGGCTGGGGATTCAAGGACACTTATATATACTTTATTGACAAGGTTACACTGACAATAACGGGCAATAGGTAATGTAGCCCCCAGGGCAAGCTTTCGCGACCCTGTCCAATGAACACATGGGCCCTTCATAGGTTTCCTACGCTCAAGTTTGCAGTAGTTCTGCCTAGAGTATGCAAAGTAGATTTATTCTAAAAGTAGTATTGCTTTGAAGAAGGTCAAAACGCGACGGGTCCGACTTCCAGTCCAGAATGGACAGTGTTCACCCAACGCAGCTCGATGATTCGAAATTGCACCAGGAATTTCTTTGTGAAACAGACTTGTGTGTGTCTTTGCCCATATCCTTCTGCAGGTACCCCTTGTGTGGCCATAGGCTGCAACACTGGCAGGAGTTTACGAACTCTATAGAGGGTCTGGATCTAGAGAAGAAATCATTTCCGAAAGAGGAAATTGTCATAAGCCCTCAAAGACTAGTCAAGAAAGAGTTCTTAGACGACCTTCTGTCTAAGGTGGGTGTAAACCAGCGCTGTCTCACTCCAAGGCGATATCCTGAGCACACATAGCGTAGTCCTGCGCTGGCGGTCGTTTTCAGACTGTATGGCGTCTAGATCTTCCCGTCCAGTCCTACTGCACGCACACGCCCCCTGAAGCATTTTCAGCACTTTTTATCTGCTGGGATCGTAGAATCATGCATTTCTGCCAGTGTGGCCACCTTGCAGAGGGTCCGCACAAAGCTAGCCACTACGGCGCATTCGGGAGCACGATGCCTTTGCCTAGAGAAGGCTCACAGTTCTGGCCTTACTGAGTGGAGAGTGAAGGGTTGCTGTGGGTTTCAGGAGCTAGGGCGTGTTTGAGTACAGCTTCGTGAGCTGTTTTGCATATGTCGGCCTCTCTGATGCTTTGCAGGCTCCTGGTGTAGAAGTGTCAGAAGAGGGGTTGGAAAGGCTCTATCATGGGCATGGCCATACATGCGCAGAGATATTTGCACTGAGACACGGACAACTCGAGCGCCTGCCAGATGTGGTGCTGTTCCCCAAATGCCACGAGGTGAGTATATGCAGTGTTTTTTCCTGTTACTCCCTTTGCCTTACTGTCAGCACCTCAATTCTGCATCGACTTGCCACTTTTTGCTGGCCACCCCTCTTTCAGCCTCACATTGTCCTAAACGGCGAGGCACAAGGGCCAGGGCGGGTTTCATGCGTTTAGGACGTTGAAGCCATCGTTGCGTGCGCAGTTCTACACGGAGTATGCTTGATTCCATTTGGGGGTGGGACTTCTGTTACACTGGGACTTGCAGTCCCTGG